CCTTGCTGATTGGCTCTTAGCTTGATAGCTCAGAGAGAGGGATTTTCCCTGGATTATGTACGGCTGTCTTCTTCATTTTATTTTACGAATTCAATAATATCCTCCTCCATCCTATTCTCTGTTAGCTAAATTGTTTCTTTTGATTACTTCATCTTTATCAATATCTTAATCCCATTTCTGTTTTTTCTAGTCACAAAATGGAATCTAAGAATATCAATGAGGCGATTCTCTCAACATTCAAGGTTGTTCATTGTTGTCGTAGTGGGTCTAAGTTAGCAGAAGACATACCCCAAATATGACAAGTCTAGAAGCTAAGAGAACAAAACACCAAGTAACCAGATGAAAAGGGGGCCACAATTAAGGACCTAAAATATGGAAAAACCAGAACTGCTAAAATAGATGGAATCAAACTAAAGACATTTTTTTTGCCTTACTGGAGATCTCATCATAATATATACATCGCATAACATAGCAATCCTAGTAAATAATTGGTTAAAAGAAAAAAAAAGGATCGGATCAAGTTAAAGCAGTAAACAAACTACATTAATCACAAGCCCACTAACATCATATGGTAGCGTTGCAGTCGATCCAATATGATAATTGTCAAGACTGAAGCCTGCAGCCTGTAGCAATAGCTCAAGACTTAACCAGGCTCCGCTGCAATGGCATTCATGAAAATTTATTATCTTATTGTGGTCAAGAGTATTAAATGTACTACTTCTTCGGGCTACACTTGAACCTTCTTCTAAAGTTCTCTTTCTCCCTTAAAGCCCTAATCTTCTGAAGCTCGCTAATCTTTTCCTTTATGGTTGGATTTTTCTTTCTGGGGGTGACAAAAATAATTCTAATTATCTTCCAGACTCCAGTACAGACCTGCTTACCACACATTAGGCTATATAGCACTGTTAATGTTGCAATTCATGTACTCTCATTTTTCTCCAGCTTAACCTAAAGGAGCTTCTGATGCGAAAGGTATTTATTTATACCTCCAACTCAGCTTAACGCATTCAGTCTCACTAACCAACATTATAGTGTCAATAAAAAGCTCAGAGCGAAAGGTATTTATGTATGTCTTTTGTGGGTTCACACCGAGTCTCAGAGAGAAACTGTTCCCTCGATAACTAGTACAGTTTTGAATGTGATTAAGTAGATCTACAACAAGGTACTGCTCTTCAATTCATCAGAAATCCTTTTTGCCTTGGGGATAAAACTGAATAACCTAGTTAATAGTACAATGGCTGCTCTTCAACGGCTCCCAACCCTCTACTAAAATGCCACTAGATCCGGATTTCATTTTCAGTGTTTCTTTCCATCCAACATTTAGGCTCTTCGTATAAACATTCTATTAGCATCATCTAACGAGTCATCAATTTCCCAACTCATTCAAACTATTACCATCAAACAACTTATAAAAACAAGTTGTTCATTGTTCTTTAACCTCATTTCTTTTACCAAAAACCATATCTTGTGAATTAAGAAATAAAAAGTGGTCTTATGAGTTTGTCATGTTATTTTAGCCTAATGACACCACAACAGACTTGGAATCCAAAATTGTTTTGCACCAATAAATCAAACATTTATGAAGCTTGGTACATAATCACACCCTCAACCAGCTCTTGTATGTGTATGTAAAACAGAAAAAAGAACAACCTCGTTTAAGCCTTAAACCTGCAGTGTTACTTATTAGAACAAGGTAAAAGGACCACATTCCTCACTGTTTCAAATGCATACAAAAGGGACATAGGCCAACCAAAGTAATAAAAAGCAAGTGCATTATATTTAGAGAAAAGGCAAAGAAGAGGGGCTATTTGAACCACCACCTCCAAGGTGTAACCACCTAAGGGGAAAGACTAAATGCTTGATAACAATCAAATTGACTATTAAGCTTCAACAATTTTACAGTCTTTCCTGATGGCATAGAAAGGTGAACTGTGAACATAAACATCAATTAAGAGAACTCAATAATAAATGAAGCTAGAAACATTGATGTCTTTGTTCACCAAGATACTTTAGAGCTCCTCCCCTGGAACAATTTGTAATAGAATCTCTAATGGGTTGCGCAATCAGCAAGAAAATATCATCAAAACATCTGGAAAGTATATCTCTAAACCCATCAAAGATTTGGAAAAGTGTTGCTCTATTAGCAAGCACAGGTCATGGATAAAAGGTTAGGCCTGTTTAGCTTCAAAGATCCTTCATAGCAGTGATGAAGCCTGAGAGGGGCTAGCAGGTGTGGTATCCCTCCCTCTAATTTTTGTTAACAGTTAACAGGTATGTTTAAAGAAGTTTAGTGTAAATCTTAATAAAAGAATTTTCATCCCCTGGAAATAAATTATAATCAATTTGTAAAATTCAACACTCCTGATTCTACCTCTACAAAAAAAATTGATGATTTCTCCATGTTCCTCCATTGTGTGAGAGAAAAGAGTGGAGGTGGACGGCATATGTACATGCCTTCATTAACCAATTAAACATTCAATTATCCTAGAAGCCAAATGTATGGACCTCCAAGAAAGCAAATCAGCAATAAATCAGACATTTGACACATTTATTACAGACTAATTGGCTAAGATAACTTGGTTCCTAATCAGAATCCCTGTAAGCTTCACAGTTCCAAATTCAACAGATCCATGGAGAACTTTACTGATTTAGCTCGTGTTCAAGAAGCAATCTATAGGAAATACTAACTATTCTGAATTCAGTACGAATCCATTAAAACCCTAATATTTAGATCATTAAAAATCAGATTACGAGAGAAACCTGTCGGAGAAGACCAAGCGGCATGAACAACACACTTTTCCTGAACATTGGAGCAGAACCCAACAGTGATCTTGTTAAGGTCTCCCCGGAGAACCGCGCCGTTCCAAACGGACGATCCGTCAAGAACGTTGACCTGGCCAGCCAATACAACGTTGGGGGCAACATAAGCGTCGACAGCGATCTTCGGGAGCCACTGACCTAGGGGAATGATCTTCCTCTGCCCTCTATAGTCCCACTTCACTCGATCCGGACATTCGATTATCTTCTCTGCCGCCGCCGGCGATGATTCAGTTGCCTTCACCGCCGCTGCGGTGGCGAGAGCGCGGCTGACCAGGTGGCGGTGGGAGGCGACCGACGACGTTAGACATTTTCTGGATAACCGTGCTAGTGACGCCATTTCACGATATTCGTTTAGCAAACCCGACGAGAAATGTATAGAGTGGCGCTCCTCCTGTGACTGAGGAAGTTAACGGCGAAACCCTTTGCCTAATATCTCACCCTCCTCCTCTCTTTCGGATTTTCATTTTTGTCCCTTGATGTTTGTATGCTTTTCATATAGGCCCCTTGAAAGATTGTTTGGATCAAAATTTCATGATTTTAGAAAATAAGAGGAAATTATGGTAATCGTCCTTGTAGTCTAGGGTTTTGTTTGGTTTTGGTCCCTACAATTTAATTTATTACAAAGAAAATTATGCAGTATGCACTTTCGTTTGATTTTTGTCTATGCCACTAACTCCATCATACTTTTTAAGTTAGTTGCACTCATGTGTCCCTTGAAGAGGGGCATTTTTGGAATTTCATAACTAAAAAAAAACCTAAGAAGATGAAGAACATATTTTGTTAAAGTAAGAGCATCAAGAATGTCATATTCATTTCATATTTAGAACATTTTACTCTAATAAAAATATATGAAGGACATCAATAACTTTATTCTAAATTTCATTTCATATCAAGAAACCCTGATCAAAGCCATATGATCATAGCAAAAGAGTAGTATATACAAATGCAACATAAGAACATCGATGCAACAAATCTAGTTGTGTAAACCGAAGCAAGGGTGGGCAAGACAACTAGATGAAGTCATCAGTCGCTGCCAAATGAAGAGAAATCATAACCAAACGAAAATTCCACGTCCTGAAACCATAAGCGGGTGAAACATCTAAGCAAAAGATCGATTTACTCAAACCCAAGTCAAGGTCTTTATGAACAACCTTTGATTGACTCCAACGATGGAGACCAGTGTGGGATTTGGTGGCAACTCTTGAACCTCATGCATTGGTAGATGGTGGGAATGAAGATGGTCCAGTTGCATGGAGAAGCAACATATCCATGATGGAGGGTTAGTGGAATAGTGGGATTCAGTATCTTTATGCGAATAAAAAGGTTTAATTATTTGAACACATTTTATGTAAAAATGCGTGTAAATAAAATAATAGTGCAATTTTATAATTGTATACCCATTAATTAAATTGATGTTGAGTAAATATTAATAAAGTGTGACCTTAATTAATTGAAAACTTCATATATTAAGATAATTGTGTGAATTATTATCCAAATGTGTTGTTTCACGTGATTTTTTCATCTAAGGTTATAATTTAATATATTGATTAACGTATATTTATTTCACAATGTGTTTTTATATGTTTTCGATTCACAATGTAAAACTTTTTACTTCTATTTTTTGTTAAACAAACTCATAAAAAGTGTTAACGAAACAAATACATATGTGAAACAAAAATATGTTAATCAATCCACTAATTCCAAGCCGTAGATGAAAAGTTCATGTGAAATAGCACATGGTGTGCCGGTCCTCAAAATTATTTCAATTTTATGAGTTCTCAAATCCTGATCAGTTTACATTATATAATTTAACTGTAAATTTTCATTTACATTTATTCTAGATTTTATTGTTTACTCATACACTCAAGATATTTATCGAGTATCAGAATTTTGATTCAACAAAATCTTTGAATCATACATCTTCCTTATGTACGAGTTTATCAAACAACTCCTAACTATATCTTGGATATATATATATATATATATATATATATATAGAGAGAGAGAGAGAGAGAGAAGCGATTAAATGAAAACCACTCAATTTGTAAAAACCGTAAAAATCTCATTCCACCGATCATAATTTTTCATTTTGTTCATTTTTTTGTAATTAGGAGAGGTTGATTAATCATTTTTATTGTGGAGGGTGTTAATCATGGATATTATCATCTTCATTATTTTAATTTTAGAGAAATACATGAAACAGTTTCATTAAAATTTCATTAATAACCATATATAAAACAACTTCATCAAAAAAAGTATTATATGAAACAATTTCACAAGATTAAACAATTTCATGAAAAAATTTCATAAGATTAAACAATGAAATCGACGGATGAGAATAGTTTTTACGGTTTTTACAAATTGGAGTAGTTTTCATTTGATCGCTCTTTTCTATATATATATTGTAAAATATCGTTTAAGGAGCGTAATACCATACACTAATTAATCTTTTACATTGGGAGACCGGCTTTATTGAATACAATGGCACGAGTCACTGCTTCGTTCCTCTACCGTAGTGTACAAAAATTATAGGGTCGTATAAAAGATGTCACAGTATAGTTTTGATGTATGCAATCATATATATATATATATATTTTTTTTTTTTTTGAAACTACAATTATAACAAAAGTTTTTCTTGGTAGAGTTAGTTTGTTTTCTTTTACCTCAGACGTGAGTTCAAATCTCTTTGTGTCATTTTTTTAGTTTTTAACTTTTAATTTCAAATTTATTATGTTTTCAGAAACAATTGATGTAAAAGTCTCGAACACAAGACCTCACATATGAAAAACAAAGAACTAACCAATATAAATCAAAAATGATTTTATAAAAAAATATTCATATCTTTGTTTCTTATAGTCAAACGATGCTACTACTTGTAAAAAATTCTAGATCCACCTCTAATTTTACATCTTAAAATTCAATTAGATATGGTTTAATTTCCGAAAAGAATACACCCAACTTAATATTGTATCTATGTGTAATGGAAATAGATCATGGAAGTCGCTATTATTTGAGAAAATGAATGCGCCAAAATTCTGATTGATGACATTAAATTTGGTTCCATACTGAAATTATGAAAACAATGGATTATGACGTATTAATGATGATACCTGATTGACTTGAACTTGGACTCTAAAGGTCAAAATTGTCTAGAGGCTCCACATTCGAATCCAAGAAGGAATAAAAATCCGGTTGTGGACTCAGAGGTTCAAATGCAGTAACTCTGGGCTACGTGCGAAACGGATGGTTGCTCTGGAATTAGTCGGCTCGTATAGTCGGTTGGATATCCAGGTTAATCAAATATATATATATATATATATATATATATATGTATGTATGTAACATTTTATTATAATAATACCTTATTTGACAAATGCCAAAAATACCATTCCAAAACGACTAAAAGAACAAACATACTTAACTCAAATCAATATACCATCAACTCATAACGAAACTATTAAGTAAATGAACCTTTATGAGAAATATACCAATTTTAAATAAGACAAAAAGAAAGGTACTTACAAATACGTTACATTACCTTTTATATATACCAAGCATGTTACATATCAAGACTATACAAACTCCATATAATTTATAGCAACCAAACTTATATTTTTCATTATATATAAATTTCTATTAATTAATTCATAATAAAAGGGATGATTTCATTAAAGATCGAGCAATGAGACATAATCAACTATTACCAGGAAATCCAAGTTGGTTCATGTAAAGAGGTGATTCAGGACGTCCATCTGGAATTAACCTGCAATTTTCAACTTTTTTATTATTATTTTCTATAATATATATATAATCTATAAATATGTATTTTTCATCCCATAATTCGATTGCATTTTCGATATCTAGAACATCATATGAAACCATCGTCATCGAACCCGTTTTTTTAATTTGAGAAAATAAACTAATTTACTTGTGTTTTTTAACAAAATCAATTTACCTTTGAGTTGCATGATCTGATGATTCCAGTCCTGAATTTTCATCGGCCTCGCCCAATAACTCATGGATCTTAATCTTACATATAAATTTCAAGTAAATATTACAAAATCCAAAATAACAACCAAAATCATATATATATATATATATATATATATATATATCCAAAATAATAAATGTATAAATTTCAAGAAAATGCTCACTTTTTTCTGAAGAATGCTATTCTCTTCTTGCAAAGTTTTATGCTGCACATATAACAGACACACAAAAATTAAGTAATAACTTTATCTCTTTTCATAATTCCAAGTGTCAACTACCAAAGTTGTGAAGATAATTCATTACAAAATCAAAAAAACATCTAAAATAAATAATAAAACAGATTTTACAACACCAAATTTGTATAATACACACACACATATATATATAAGCTTAAGACTCACATTTCTCTTCAATAAACTTATGTGCTCCGACAAAAGGCGCCACTGTCCAGATCCATTTATTAAATGCTTATTAGGTTTTGAAGACAATTAATATATATTTGAATAATGATATTTAGCAATTAATTAAGATGGATATATATATATATATATATATATATGATGGGATGTGTAGAATGAACATGCCTTTTTAGAGCGTACACGATCTACTCCAATCCTCAGTTGGCGTTCAAGTTGTTTCAGTTCTTTCATGCCTAATGTTGAAAGATCTTCTCCAGCCAAATGCCTTCAAATTAATATATAAATAAAACATATAATAATGATAAATATTATATATATTTCCTACTAATTGATCAATTAAATGGTTATTGATATATATGTATATATATATACTTGTGTTTTGCTTCCAGTGTGTCGATTGTTTTCTTCATCTCATCCATTTCATTCTTCCACACCTGCACCAGATCAATTAATGTCTTAGTTTCTTGAAAAACAAGTAATTTTAATTGTTTTTAATTAATAAACCTAGATATCATATCATATACATATACATATACATATACATGTATAAGAATGTCATATATATATATATACCTCGATGGTTCTAACTCCCTGGCTATTCATCTTATGCTGACCGTTTTCGTTTCGGTACCTCCTGATGGTTCTATCCATGCTGCAACAACATATATACCATCAATCAACCTTAATTCAAAAGGCTGGAGAGCTTATCAAAGAGAGAGAGAGAGATGGGTATAGATACATATATATATAGAGAGAGAGAGAGAGAGAGTATGTATAGTAATTACTCATGGCTGGAGAAGTTATAAGCTTTGCCAGAAGGAGAGAAAACAAGAAGAGCAACCTCAGCATCACAGAGAATAGAGAGTTCAATGGCTTTCTTGAGCAAACCATCTCTTCTCTTAGAGAAGGTGACTTGCCTGTTTGTTGGGTTTTCAATTCTCTTTAACTCTACTTTCCCCCTTCCCATTTTCTTCCTTCAATTTACCCTACCTTGCTCCTTTAATTTGTCTTCATCAATTTCTTTTTTATATAGCTTTACTAACTTACAAAACTTTTAAAGTAATTACATATATATTAATTACCGTCCACTTTGATGCATCATGATGTAAACAATAAGTAATAATTATCATGTAAATTGGATCAAAAAGTGTATCTATATATATATATATATATATATATATATTTATTGGGATTGTATATATATATATATAGATATGACATCAGTATCTAATCTTCTTCCATAATATTGTTTGTTATGTGAAAATTAAAGTGCTTTTTGGCATGGGGCTGGTTTGAGGTGTCTTATTGTTAGTGATTGTTTTTACCCAAAACCAGCGACCACACTTTTGTTCCAAAGTCTAATGTGCACTATCGGTCGCCATAGGTTTTGGATTCCCACAATCCAATACAATTGAATTCACGTGAGACCATAATTTTTTGTGAACGAAAACAGTCTGATCTCACATGATTCCAAGTATCTCTCTCTACATATATAGGGAATTATTCAAACGAGAACATCTTCATTTTATAAGAACGTAAGAACACTATTTTACTATAAAACATCACACGTGATATTATATTTCATCACATCTTATACAAATGTGATACTAAATCAGAAATGTAAACAACTTTTATACATGTGTTCTTTGTTTTCTCGTAAGTTGACCATATTCTCATTCGAACTCAATTCAAATGCGCACGCACACACGTACGCGCACGCACACACACACACACACACACACATATATATATATATATATATATTATCATGGTATGACTAATGATCGTGTGAGAAGAATAGTTAATCTGAGAAAGTAAGAAGGGATCTAGACATTTGATCACTTTTAATCTCAAACCTATCCATGAATTGTGTTTGATACGAGAATTGATCTGATACATCTCATTCTAATGTGTAGGAGTGCTCAAAATATATACCGATCAATCCAGCTCGAAAAAACTTAAAAAAACCTCAACCTGATGTAACCCAACGCATAGTTGATACAAAATTAGATCAAACTGCATATGTTGGGTCGGAATTAGGTTGGGGTAATTTCAACCCAACCCAACCCAATGAACACTTTTCTATACTCCAGATTTAATATGGTTATTAAGTCCTTGATTAATATATGTACATTAGACCAACACATAATTGGCTATATTCAAAATTACATTACAATTTCAACCGTAATTTTACTTTCTTATTTGCATGAAATTTCAACCTTTTTTTAGTCTAATAGCCTATTTGTACGTTCTCGTTTTGATTTTATTTCGTTTAAACAGAAGGTTTAGCTAGATTATAGAATGATATATTAACGATTCAACCCCACCAATCCCCAACATGGACAGGTTGGATTGGGTTGAATTGTAGTTTTGATTGTGTTGGGTTAGGTTGAGAAATCGCAGACATTGAATGAGTTATTCAAATGTCTTCAACCCGGTCAACCCAACTCATGTACAACCTTACTAATATATATCCAAAAATGGAAATCTCTTCTTACCCTTCTCACTATAACTTTTATTTTCACCGAAAACATACCCAATCATGATAAGTAATTGGATATCTATATCTCATAAGTATATCTCCATTTTGCGTTGGCATCTCATATAGCATACAATGATAACAACGACCAGCAGATATTATTTTATAATGGCATAAAAATGGGACATATTTGTAGATAATCTCGTCACTGAATAGGAAGTTGACAAGTGTCATCCATAAGCCAATCCAAAAACCTAGGAATATCCGAATGTCAATGATGATGAAAAAGAAAGAGTATTTTAGTTCACATATCTTCTTGCTACATGCCGGAGCATCTCCTCATTTCACCCAATCTTTTGCCTGGGCCCCACATGTTTCCCACGTGTCCACTTCCCATTAGTTCCCATTAAATCTTTACCTCGCCCAGTAAAAACCTTCCACCAGTTTTGGCCGTTCATGTCAATGGGGGGAAACATCATGTTTCTCGAACACATGTTTGAAAGAATCCTTCTCTTTTTTTTGTAAAACATTTTAATAGTGAATTCTCTAGAAACTTTTAAGTGATTCCAAAAGATAAGCTATTTTGTCCGAATTATATATATTCGTCTTTTTATGTATTCGGTCAGATGTTAAACTTAATCTTAAAGTCTTCGATAATATCGAAAGTTTTTTTTGACTTTTTATAGCTTTAATGGATTGAAGATAATATTTTCTTAACGTAATCATAACAAATATAAATTTATATATGCTTCATTTTATAACAGCTTTTCTACACCTCATGAAATTTTCGCCCAACATACGTATGCAAGCCTGATGTGCGTAATCCATTTTCCCTTATCCTTATCTTTGTCTTACTTAAATGAAGTCGTCGTATCTGTATGTCAAGGTTAATCCTAATTAGCATATTAATATGAGCTTTGGCGATACTTGTTTTGTATGTCAGTATCTGGTTTTCTTTTTGTTATTTCAAATACTAAAGTATGTTACATAACAAAATGATTTATTGTTTTTACTAATTTTTTGTTTTTTATGTATTCAAATTTTATGGACAACGTTGCGATAAACCAAATTAAATCGAACTTATGGGCCGTTTACCAAACACTTACCCGGTAAGTACTTATTGGTAAAATTTAACATTATTATTTACTTAGAGGGTAAGATTTTAGTCCACCAAAACGACATTGTATGCAACAATTTACTCGATAAGAGCTTACTGTGGTAAGAGTCGTCGCCCTCACTTACCGGGTAAGACTCTTGGTCCTTGTCTCGCTCTTACCGGGTAAGATTCTTAGTCTTTACCATATTCATGCTGTGAGGTAATGTTGTTTGGTAAGCACTTACCCGGGTAAACGTTTGGTAAACAGCCATTTACCCAATAAATTCCACTTGAAAGTAAGGTATAGAAAAGATGAGATGTATACAAACATGAATCTACCAAAAATAGTAGAAACGGTTGTTTTCGTGAAGACCTCCGATTTGTGCATTATTATGAGCAAGCAAGTAGAAGACGAAGATTAACAAACTGTGACCTAAGTACGGTAAATATAAGAAAGGCAAAACACACAAAGAGCAAAAGTGACAAAAAAAACACTTCTAGCTAGCTTAAATAGCGACTTTGTGAGTGATAGCTCTCGTTTTGAGCATTATTTACACATCATTTATGTGAGTTTTAGTTGCGTTTTCTCTTTTAATGTTCATGTTTCTTATTTTTATTATTTTATTTTTATTTTTATTTGGAGCTATTGAGAATGCTTTATGATTATATGCATCATTCTTGGCTGACCATCGGACTGTGGTCATAATGTCACTGTTGTGGGCAGAGATTGAGGGAGATATAGATAAGGATTGAGAATTGTAAAAGATTTCTTGAAGATTTTCAGCTATTTGAAGCCTCTAAAAGATTTGGAAACTTGGACTTATGGATTAATTCAGTAAAAGTTGAAATTTGTTGTGCAGATACTTTGAACCATCCACTTTTTTTTTACATTTTGTAGTTGTAGTTGTAATTTATTTTCAAGTCTTTAACTTTCACATTGCTACCTATTATGGAGACATTGTGGGCACAATTTGTATTTTATTTTTAATGCAATTAACTTTTAAGTAATTTTCTTCTTCTACTATACTATTTACTTTAGTTATTAGCTAAGCACCACTTTGAGTGTGGGTGTGGATGTGAGTCGATCCTAAGATTAGTAGGCAACACTTGAGTGTTGCCATCGTTGCTAACTCTCGTGCTTGGTTACTCAAGTTGAAGCTTTAACTCAATGCGGACAAGTTGATCATTTGAAAGTGTTAATATTAGGTTTTATACGGGATTTAGTAATGCAAGAAGATTTGAGAAAGTCTTTTATAATCACGTAAAGATACGAGTTTTTGCATGATTTTGTTACTAAGGTTCAAACATCGGTTGACAGTAGTGTTACATAAAGATATGAGCATTCTCTGCAAACTAGTAGAACTAAGATTCCCTGAAATCTACTTAGTTCAATCGATAAAAGTGGTGACTTTGTGAGGAGACTGTGGGCACTCTCTATATATGGAAGTTCACTTTCAAAAGATAAGGATTTTTATAAATGTTTTTGTGACCCATTTCCTTGACCATCTTGTTACTACTGATATTTTAGGTGACATTTACACTCATACCCGTTCTTAGTTACTTGTTTATATTTCATCGTGAAAATTATCAAACTCGCTCAAATATATTTTCTTCTTCTTTAATTGAAATAACTGTATTCTCAACTTGCTACTCGAAACTTTGAAGTTTGATCCTTGTGGAGACGATCTCGGTACTCTACCACCCAGTTACTTGTAGCAATCATAGTGACAGGGTTTCACTTGCACCACCATTGTGAGGATATTGTGTCCATTTTGTGAATGCATACGTTTTTCCATCATCAGTGAGCCTTCCCCCCTCTCCTCCCCTTGAAAAAAATGTCCAACTCTCTTTTACCCGACTATGCTAGCTAAACGGTACCTAAGTCTAAAATTTTGAAAAATTCAACAATGTAAGCAACATTTTTTATGCACCATAGTGATATTATTCTAATAAAATATTTTTCAAAATATTGGAATTTAAATTTTTGCATATATATATATATAGAGAGAGACAGATCGTTTCAAATACAACCCATCACATTTGTACAACCAATGCAACCCAATAAACTGAGATATTTATCAAAATGATGAGAGTTCATTTATTATGATTTGAATATTTATGGAAGATGAATATGGTTCATTAATTATGATTAATACTTTATATTAGGAAACAATCAAAACTTCTATGAAATCACATATTAATCAAATGAAATGGACGGTTGAGATTGAGTTGTATTGGTTGCACAAATGTCAAAGGTTGTATAATAACCAACCCCTCTCTCTCTCTCTCTCTCTCTCTATATATATATATATATATATGGTATATTTCAAATGCAACCACATCCATTTAATTTGTACAATCAATTCAACCCAATTAATTGAAATATTTATGA